ACACACACACACACACACACACACACACACACACACACACACACACAAACACACACAAACACACACACACACACACTGTTTTCTAACTTTAGGTCATTGACCGTATGTAGTTTAATCAACGTACTAAGTAGACAAGTTCCTTGTAAGTAATGTAAGTTTCAGTCAATATTATGAGAATTGCAAACTTAACCCTGTTTTAATTTGCGTCTCGTAAAATAGACGCCTACGATTTTTTTTTATATAATATCAAGTGACGGGACGAACGATGGTAAGCGACACGCCTGTCCATAACAGATGCAGTACCACTCAGAGCTTTAAATCGCAACGATCTGAGGAGCACTGCCACTGCGCCCGTCACCCTGAGACATAAGTTGACAAGTCCCATGTACCTGTAATTTCGCCGGCGCCCTTGCCCTTCCAAACCGGAACGCAGTAATGTTAGCATTACTTGGCGGTAGAAATAGGTAAGGTTGTTAATAATAAATAGGTAAGGAAGACAGTACTTCCCTGGACGAACTCTTTCAGAACGACTTCTACTGCTGCTAAAAATACACAATTTAACGTAATATAAATAAAATACAACGTATGTACAATTTCACATACTTACCAAGTAAAGTAATAAACACTGTAATATCAATAAAATTAATTAAAAAAAATACTAACTCTGAAGGTGAAGATCGTGAACATGCATAATTATGTCACTTGCATTGTCTAAGGAGATTCACGAAAATATCGTAACTTTGAATAAAGCACAAGTCAAAATGCTTGAATTACATGAAAGTCAGAAAAAAACGTGAAATAAATTATGTTTGTGTGTAATTTTACAACTCTATTAATTATTTAACGTACTATTTAGTAGCGTAAAAAAGTTATCGACTGATTTCGTTCGTAGAATTTTCAAACCTCTCTCTACAAAAGTCGTCATTTTGCAGATGTGGCTTTCTTACACCAAGGGTGATGATGGGTGCGATATGAGACAAGCGCTTTTGCCTGCATCAATTCAATACCTCCATAACAAATTGCACAGTCAGACGTTATCAAGCACTATCAAATTGCTTTGCGCGAGTTACTTGTTCTTTCCGTTGATTTTTCAATACACAAACTGAAATATATACAGATATATATTTCAGTTCTTATACTAACTATAATATAATATAATTCTATACTAATTATAAGCAATTTTTACTTTAATCATTTACATTTTTTTCTACTTCAAAGTTAGCAAGTGTTGGCGTTTTCAATCCTTTATGGCAATGACTGTACTCAGCTCCACTAATTTACTAAGTAGCTTAATTTTCCCCTTGAACTTAATCGTAACATTGTAAGTTCAAATAATCATTATGATAATTATGAACTTAACCTTGTTTTTATTGCGTTTGGTAAATACACGACAACAATATACCATACACTAGTTCATTTACATACAGCCGGCAGTAATAAACTCAATAATTTCCGTAAAATGTTCAGTAATTTTGATGGTGCAATAAATATTTGAAAGAATGTTATACACTGAATAAAAAATTTCACTAAACTGTAGGATAGGCAAAAGCAACGATGCGACACTCGCATGTTGCCAGAGTGTCAAAACGTTATTTGTGTCAAGCAATTTATGATAACAAAAACAGACTAAGAAAGTATGTTAGTGCTTTATAGTACATAGGTACTTACTGACTATGCCACGGAAGGTTACATTATTGTATATATATATAAATCATAAAATTACGGTCAAACCTCTTGAAAATGGAACTTTAGTTATTAACAATGAGTTATATTATGCAAAACAAAAGCGACAGTTTCTATATATAATGGATGTGGCTTTTCGCATCTTTGTCTAGATTCTAGATAACCGAGAAGACAGTTTATTATGCATATAGCAAAAGCAAGTAAATAAGGAAAATGCATAAATCAAATTTGCCATCACCCGGGACAATGCGACGGTCTGTCAGTGGACTTGAAACCTCGTCGTCACGGAAGCTGCCTAAGACACCGACAGTAGACGGACAGTCGCTTGACAGTCACTCCGGCCAATTTAGCATTCAGTGACAGTCACTGCGTAAGGTAAAAGATAAGATTGTATTGGCTTAGAGTGACGAATTTTCTACGACGTATGAGAAACAAAGATAATAATATTTTTTTGCGTTCTAATTCATACAGCGCACTCATTTAGTGCAGTGGAACAACTATAGTAAATAGCAAATGAGACTATTTTTTCGGATCTAAATCAATTTACATTTTTTTTTTCAAACGAACCAACGTTCGTGCGGGTCCGTTACACGTTCGGGCCCTTTACACCTCCAACTCAAACCAACCAACGTTTCGGGTCCCCTGTGATCACGGATATCAGTCAGCCGTGACCATAGGACCTGTGAAGAGCCTGTAGGCTGCCTTTATCTATACTTTTATTAAACTGCTTACCGAAGTATAAATTGAATTAAAAATGTGGAAGTCTTGTACTCTCAGAGAGAAACGATTAGACTTTTTAAATAACAATTCAG